CAGTTTTTCTTTTAAAACCAGGACTATAAAATCTTTAGTACCTACTGCAAAGGGTTGAGGTTCAAATGATATGTGTATAAATGTCAGCTAATATTATTGTCTAATTTGGGAGGAGTGGCTTCATTTCCTCTGCCTGATCTCTTTTAAAGTCCTGGGTACATTGACATGCTTATTCTCATTCGGAGGCAGTTAGATGAGGGAATGGATTGAGTGCTGGATCTGGAGTCAGGAATACTTGAATTCATATCTTGTCTCAATCATTTACAAGCTATGTGACCATGGAAAAGTCACTTACCCTCTCTGTGCCTCCCTTTCTTCAACTGTAAAATGAGGGGCTTTTATCTGATGGCTTTCAAGTTCCCTCCTAGCTCTAAATCTATGAGTCTATGATCTCTAAAGCCTTCATTTCCTTCCCAACCCACACTGATCTCTTACTCATCACCAATTAATGCTTATATCTTAGCATTTACATGCATAGGGATAAGTACTGGACCTGAGATTTCATAGGTATAAGGACCTCCTGGTAAAGAGGTGAATGCAGGGTAACACCCCTGTGAATACAGAGTAACACCTTCTCTGTAATGTATAGTCCCAGAGATATGACTAGAACATTGATAGATTAAGGAACTTACCCAGGGTCACCCAACAAAGTGAGACTTGAACCCAGGTTTTCCTGATACCCAGAACAGCTCTCTAGCAACTGTTGTTCCACACTGCCTTTCATTTAAATTTGTTGTTGTTCAGTCCTTTCAGACTCTTCCTGACCCCATTTGGGGTTTTCTTGGCAAAGTAGTTTGCTATTTCCTTCTCCAGCTCATTTTATAGATGAGGAAACTGAGACAAACAGGGTTAAGTGACTTACCCAGGGTCACACAGCTAGTAAGTGACCGAGACTGGATTTGAACTCAAGAAGATGAGTCTTCCTGATTCCAAGCCCAGTGCTCTATCTACTGTACCACCTTTCACTTTAATATAGACTACCTTAATAGAGCATCTCTTTGTCTGCATATGGCTTCTCTCTCACTGCTAGATTGTACGTTGTGAGAGAGTATTTGGAAGCTTGGAGTCCTAGCACTTTCGAGGCCCCAAATGGGGCCTCAGCTCTGCAAAACCAAAGCAAGAGGGTGGCAAGTGTGGGAGTCTCAGTGGGTGGGTCTCTGCAGATAATTGCTCCTCAGCTAGTACTGCTGTCTGGGGAAGGCACGCAGGTCATCTGCCAAGGTGCTCCATGCTTTCAAACACTCTGTCAGATCCTGAACTGACTCATTCCCATAACTACTCCCTTTCCCTCGCATTTATATACCACTGACTATACTCCAGGCAGTGTGCTATATGTTCTCCACATTGGCTTAACATACCTAAGGCTCTTTCCTGTAGAGACCTTCCACCTCCATCATCAAGGATACCTCTTTGGGAAATAATTAGCATTTGGGGGCAGTGGCATGCCAAGTGGCAAAATGGATAGAGTGCTGGGCCTGGAGTTAAGAAGAGCTGACTTCATGTCTGATCTCAGGCATTTACCAGCTGTGTAACCCTGGGCTAGTTCCTTAATCTCTGTCTGCCTCAGTTGCCTCCTCTGTATAGTGGGGACAATAATAGCAGCTATCTCCCAGGGTTGTTGTGAGGATCAAATGAGATAATATTTGTAGGGGCAAGTAGGTGGTACAGTGCATAGAGCACTGGCCCTGGAGTCAAGAGGAACTGAGTTCAAATGTGACCTCAGACACATAACATCACTAGCTGTGTGACCCTGGGCAAGTCACTTAACTCCAACTGCCTCACCAAAAAGAAAAAATAAAATAAAAGAGATAATATTTGTAAAGTACTTAGCATAGTGCCTGGCATATAGTAAGTGCCATAGAAATGTGATTATCATTATTATTATTATCATTGGTTCTTGGCACATAGCCGCACCCCTTTTGCCTATATCCCTAGATTTTGACAGTATCCTCCATTTTATCTTCCCCTTCCCCTACTTTTTAGGTGCAGAGAGTGAAGAGATATGGATGAATGCATTATGAGGGGCCCAGAGAGGGAACTTTCACCCCCTTCACAGGGAAATTTAAAATGCTGAAGTAACCTCTTAGTCTGGGTGAAAGTTTTCCTACATTCAGCACATTCAGGGGGCTCCTCAGCTTCCCCAAGACAACCTCTGCCTATTCTTTCTCCTCCAACCTTGCTTTCAGTTTAATTTTTTCTTTCCCCTTCCCTCTTTCCTCTACCTCATTCGGTTCTAGTTCTTGGTCTTTATTTTCTCTGTCCTTATCTCTGTTTTTCTCATTGTTGTCCAGTCCCTCCCTCTTTTTCCTCTGTGCTGGTGCAGCAGCCTTTCCTCAAAGCTTTATCTGCTCTCAGTCCTCTCATTAAGATATCCTCAGACCCAGGGCTTCCTAATTTTTTGTTGGTTTGTTTGTCATGGACCCCTTTGGCAGTTTGGCCAAGCCTGTGGGCCCCTTCTCAGAAAAATACTTTTAAATGAATGAAGTAAAATACATAGGATTACAAAGAAAACCAGTTCTATTGAAATACAGTTGTCAGCAGAGTTCATGGACCCCAATTTAAGAATTCCTGCTCGAAATCTTGGCCAATCTCTTACTGTGTGTTGCTTTAAAAAAAAAAAGTAGCCTTAAACCTTTCCTTAGTTCTCTCCTTCTGCTACTAGGGAACTGTTGAGATCTCCTCACTTAAGGGCAGTAGGATGTTAATCCACTTTTTCCTACCCTCAGTTCCTCTTTCTGGTATCGGTAACCTCTTTCCTCATTGACCTTGGAACTGGGCTACGTTTGTTATGTGAGAATTACAGGGGCGATGTCTCCTTTCCACCCCTCTGAGAGAGAAACATTGCCTAGATCTTCTACTAAGGTGGAAATAGAATGACCTGCTTCAACAAGGTAGATTCCTTGGGCACCCACATTGAAAACTCGGCCTCAGCTAGTCTAAAAAGGCTGCTCCATGGAATCCCAGCTCTGCTACATCCACCAACTTGTGATACCAACTTGTGAACTGTCCAACATGAAGAGGCTGCAGAGAACCTTCTTCTCCTTTGCCATTGCCACCTCCCATTCCATTACTCATTGTCCACCGGGCTCTGGATGCCATCCTCAGTCAATCTACCATACTCTGGAGGTAACTTACAGCCCTGCTCCCATCCAATCCTTGAGATCACTATCCCCTTCCAGAAAGTTTTTGTTCAGTTACATGCCCACTCATAGGACTTAAATGAGAAGGAAGTTACAACCACAATCTTTTCAGTAAGATGGTGGACAACTACACCATAATGTCTACCTTGCCATTGCTTCCTAAGGTCCACCAGGCTGTACCATCTGTCTTGACATCATGTTCTCATCATTCCTCATCTGTAAAATGAAGGCATTGGACTAGATTGCCTCTAAGGTCCCTTCCAGCTCTAAATGCATGGGCCTATGATCTCAGGCCTTTGTCTAACCCCATAGTTGCCACAGAAATCTCCTAGCTAGTCTCCCATACATCTCTGCCAGTTGGAATCCCACTTCAGGCTCACTGGAGGGCCTAATGCCTTAGCACACTCCACCAGAAGCACTAAATATTGTATGACCTATAGTGCCCATACTGGGATGCCAACCTATGACAAATGGACCACGGCCATGTGGATTCCAAAGCAAGGTGGCCATGCCAAGGTTGGATCCTGTTTTTTTTTTTGGAGGGGGAGAGAAAATCTCTAGCCTGTGACAGAACAATAGAATTGGGGAAGCAGTCCTCATTCTCAACTCCTAGAGAGCTTCAAAATGAACATTGGAAGCTCCCTTAAACCTTTAATGTCCCTCCAAAGTGAACAGGAGGGCTGCTTCCCTGGGAGGGCTGTTGTTGATTTTAGAGAGGCATTCATGCACAATCCTCATGCTAATGCCACTGATCTTACTTTGCACCAACTTCTCAATCATACTTCTCTGTTGCAAACACATTTTGTGTATTGAAGCCTCCACATACCAGTTTCTCAAACCCAGGGGCTCAAATCTACTGTTACATCCTTTAACATAAATTTCTTTTTTTATTTTTTATTTTCCATAGATTTATTAAACATTAATCTTTTATATACATTTTTGATATGATGTCTGGTACATCTAGCTAACCCACTGACTCTCCTTTTTGCCTATTAGCAGTTAATTTTTAAAAATATTTTGTTTTGAGTTCCAAATTCTATCCCTCCCTCCCTCCCCTCCCCTTCTCTGAGAGGGTAAGCAATCAAATATATGTTATACATGTGCAGTTATGTAAAATATTTCCATATTAGTCATATTGTATAAGAAGACTCAAATAAAAAATGAAAAAAAAAGAAAAATAGCATGCTTCTGTCTGTATCCAAATAATATTAGTTATTTCTCTGGAGTCAGATAGTATATTCCATCATTAATCCTTTGGGATTGTCTTGGATCTTTGTGTTGCTGAGAATAGCTAAGTTATTCACAGTTCTTTATTGAACAATATTACTGTTACTGTGTACAACATTCTCCTGATTCTGTTCACTTCACTATATGTCAGTTCATATAAGTCTTTCCAGGTTTTTCTGAAATCATTCTGCTTGTCATTTCTTACAGCACAATAATATTCCATTGTATATATAATACCATATATATATATATATATATATATACCACAGCTTGTTTAGCCATTCCCTAATTGATGGGTATCCATTTGATTTCCAATTCTTAGCCACCACAAGAAGGGCTGCTATAAATATTTTTGTACAAATAGATCCTTTTTAATATGAATTTCAAGGGTACATATGCATGTGTGTACACATGTGTATGTGCACATATTTATAATAATAATATCTGGCATTTATAGAATAGTTAAAGGTCTGAAAGCCTTTTGACATGTCATCTTATTTGATCCTCATAATAATGCTGTGAGATAATTACTATTATCCCTATTTTATAGAGTAATAACTGAGGCATAGAGAGTTTAAATGATTTGCTCAGGGTCACACAGCTAGATTTGAACTTGTTTTCTTCTCCCTCTAGGTCCAGCATTACTTCCACTACAGTGTACTTCTTGATGCTTTTAAATACACCTGGGACATAATTAGCAGCTGTGTGGGCAGCTATGGATTCTCTTAACCTCAGGTGTGCAGCTAAACCCCCTCTTGCTGCATCTCTAAATAGACTCATTCTCCCGTCCTTTATTCTATTCTTTTGTTAAAGGTAACATAGAACTATTATAGTCATTGTTGTCCTCTCATGCTTTTGACACTTCAAGAGAGGATGATTTCCTTGGTGTGGAAATGGCCTCCGCTGATGCAGATTGCCACTCCTCCTTGCCTTAGCAAACATTCTGCAGAAGTGTCAGGGGCTGGAAAAGAGTCATAACAGATAGCCAGCCCTCTGGTGATGAGTCTGGGTGAAGTTGGGCTGGCCCTGTTAATCACGGGCCTCGTAATTGGTAGTATGCTAGCAAGTGTTCAACAACCAGCTTGGGGGTGGGGTAGGATGTATGTATGACACATTTTCAAGTAGAATGTGTATTATTGACATTTTCTTCATTACTTTCTTAAGTCTAGACAATCAAGAAGATGACAAATACAGCCCCAATTTGTTGCAGCTTCCAAGCTGTACTTGTTTACATTGAAAATTTAACAGTTCCCTCTCTTTCCCAAACTGGTTTGGGTTGGTTCTGGCATACTCCTGAGTCCAAGCCAGAGTTCAAACTCCATCAGTATAGTGGTTCCATGTTACTTATAGGATCAAGTACCAGTTCTTGTTTGACATTTAAAGCCTTTCACATATCTAACTCTAGGCTACCTTTCCGGGGTTCTCCAGTCTGGTCAAACTGACCTACTTGTCCCTCTTACAAGATGAATTCCATCTACTGCCTGCCTTCCTTTGCACCGGCATGCCAGGAATGAATTCCCTCTTCACCTCCATTTTTTAGAATGCCTAGTTTCCTATAGACCTCAGTTCAAATGTCACCTCATCCATGAGGACCTTCCTGATCCCCAAAGTTGCTAATGACTGCATCCCTCCCCCAAATTATCTTTTATTTACTTTGCATGTACAACGTAACTATTTATACTATATATTTCCCTAGCACATGGTAGGCTTATTAATCAATTCATCAAGTGGTAGTTTTTGATCATCCAAGTACCATAAGGCATCAGAATTAGAAAAGAACTTCAGTAAGTTGTCCTGTAGATTCAGCATGGCAATGATTATGGGAATCCTACAAAACCTGCTTGCCTGAAGTCACAAAGCTTTGAAAGCAAACCAGTCAAAAAGGACCCTCTTCAAATGTACATGACCTTTCCTTTCAACGGATTCTCTTGGTAGTGGTTCTATCCACAAAGAGAAATGATCCTCTTTCTGAATCTCTTAATAGTATTTACATACAGAAGTCATAGAATCTGGGAGCTGTAGATGACTTTTGCTGTTTCAATGGATTTGTTATTGTATCCCAGTATGCATCTGGCCAACACACCAGCTCAAATTTCACTCTTTCTCCCTTCTTCCTTTGACTCTCTCCATGTGTCAAGTAGAATACCTGAGAATGCTTAGGGGTAGAGTCTGTCCTTCCCACCAAAGATAACACATGGCATTTAGAGTAGATATGCTATCTAAGCTAGCCTAAGGCTAGATCTGGGGCTGCTGCTGTGTGTTTGTTCTTTCCTAAGTATAGGTGACTGAATAATAATACTGAGGTGGACAGATTCAGTTTCAGAGGCAACTTTGTGAATCTTAAAGATTGGAGATCCTAGGTGCCTTCATCAAAGCTGACTGGTGCCAAGAAGAATTGCTGCATTAGCGAGGATCCCACCAAAAAAGGTATGAGGTCCAATACCTGGCCTGGCTAGCCAGGAGATGTGAATTTTGAAGAGAAATGGAAGCAGTCATTCTCTTTTTAAAGGTCCACTGAGTTACTGGCTTCTTTTGCTCAGTGGCCAACAAGATTGCTTTGTCTTCCCCAAAGCACCCATGCTCTTCAGCACTAAGTCATAGATGGCCGCCTGCAAACATCGAGGGGCATCATCACTACCAAAGTGCCCTGATATATATGGTGCCCTACCACGTAATGGTCAAAAGCCATTTAGGGTAGCTTTGCATATACCTTGTTCTTTCCTACATATTCCAAATATAGTTATCTGGTGAGGGGTCTTTTGGGATTCCTCCATCAATTATTTGGCTATGATGGCACAGAGAAGACTGAGGAGGGTCTTGATATTTATCTTTTAGTATTTAAATGTTTGCCACATAAAAGAGGTATTGGGTATGTTCTGTGGGATCGAGTCAAGTTTCAATCCTACTCAAGGAAATACTTCCTTTACAATTAGAACTATCCACAAGTGGAATGGGTTGTAAATTATTACAATTCTAGAGGAATTGATCAAAAAGCATTTATTAAGTATCTTCGGTGTGCTAGACACTGTGCTAAGCACTGGGGATACAATGACAAAAGCAAAGCAGTACCTGACTTCAAGGAGCTTACATTCTAATAGGGAAAACAATGTGTGCATGTGTGTGTGTGTGTGTGTGTGTGTGTGTGTACATATGTATGTATATACAAGACATATATAAATTAAATACATAGTAACCTAGGAGAGTAAGACTAAGAATACCAGGAAGGAGGAGTAAGTTCCTAGAGTAAATAGATCTTGAGGTAAGTATTGAAGAAAATCAGAGATTCTAAGAGGCAAAGATATAGAAAGATAGTATTATAGGGATGAGAAAGAGTCAGGGCAAGGAGATTAAGCACCCCTTCTAGAATTACTCCCCCAACTTGGCATTTACACTTACGGCTTAGGGTCCCCAGAAGGTAACTGACTAATTCTCCTCTGAGGGTTCTAGGGATAATTTTGGAGGTGGCTGAGATTTCTAATGTTGTTGCGTATAAGCCACCACCAATGTGCTTTCCACTAATAATCAGTAGATAACAATTAGCTTTTAGGGAAAGGATTGACTAAGCTCTAGTAAGAAGAACTGGTACCAAATATCCCCCCACACAAAAAAAATTAAGTGCAATCTCTTGTTGCACACATAAGATCCCTAGGGAGAACAGGCTCGTACAAAGTACAAATATAATGAAGTACATCTTTAAAGAATATCTGTGGCTAAGAGGCACTTTCCAGAAGTTTCCCACTCTACTTCCATTACAAACACATATAGCTAGAGAGTTTATTGATCACATATAAACTGTCAGTGGTTCATCCAATAATCAGTCAATAAGCATTTATTGGTATAAATGAAAGGATGCAAATTAGAGATAAAAGGACTTGCATTCAAGTCTTATTTCTGATACATTCTGGCTAAACCCTTTAACTTGCAAAATAGTTGCTGATCTGCAATGATGGAGGGAGTTTAATCACAGGGAATTCAGTCATGGATCCAGGAAATCCTGGCCTTGGCCAGGAAATACAGTCTAGATTTCTAATGGTCCAGGAGCAGCACTGTTTTGTGCTCAAGAGAACTAAGAAAGATGGAGCCTTTTTCAGCTGTACCATGTGACTCCAGGTACTTTTCCAATGCACCAATCATGACTAAGCTAGATAAGGATGGACACAGAGGTTACAATTCCTTTGGTTAGGATGGGGATGATTGAGCTTCCCTTGAAGACCTATCAGTCCTGATGCATTTCTAAATACCTGTCCTCTCTTCTCCATGGGAAGAGGCTAACTGGCCAGAAAGCATCTGACCGCCTCACCTCAGAAAGTACTCACTGGAGGTCTTGAAGAAAAGGCTGGATACCACTTGCCAAGGACATTGTAGAGAGCACCACTTTTCAGATATGGGTTGGACTAGACAAGGTTTTAGGTCATAAGGTCATAGATACACAAGTCAAAGAGACTTTTGAGATCATTCTAGTCCAACTCTCTTACTTTACAGATGAAGGAACTGATCCTCAGAGAGGTGACAGAGCTTATCTAAGGTCACATAAGTAGTAAGTGGCAAAGTCAGAATTCGAACTCAGATCCTGTGGTTTCATGTTGGGTATCTTCTCCACCACCTCTCATCCTTTCCAACTCAGAAATTCTGGTATTTTGCAACCAAGCAAAACTCAAGCCCTTAGTTCAGCAATTCCATTCATTCATTCAATAAACATTTACTAAACATCTATTGTATGTAAAGTACAGTGTTAAGCAGGGGGTAGAGAAGGGAAGGAGCAAGGAGAAGACTCAAATTTTAGATAATATTGTATTCAGGAAGCTGAAGGTCTAGTGGGACTTCACTTAAAGGAAGAATGACACAATTATATTGAGTACAGATCATAAACCACTTCCATGGTGTGAGCATTACTATAGAGGCTCCTTCAGCCAGGGATTTCTACCAAATATCTGAATCCTAGGCCCCTCACTTATCTGTAAGCAGTGAAAAGCAAAGTAGATGAATCCTACAGCTTCAGGGGCTCAGAGATAGTAGGATCAGTCTTATAGGGTAATGGATCTAAGACACCATTTCGATCAACCCTTTCATTTTACAGATGCATCCTCATCCCAAGTTTTTCTTCCTAACCACCTGTTGAACTAACATTAGCAATTCATTCCGATAGGGTCTTCAAGGCTTTCTCGTGGGGGGGGGGGGGGGAGAGGAGACAGTTCTCAGTTTTGGAATTCATATGATCTGGGATGTCATCCAGAAAGGTTAAGACAGATTCAAATATTCAAACATGAATAAGAACAGAGCCATCCCTGGGGCCTAGGGCTGAGATAAAACATATGGTGGGGGAAGGGTTATATTACTATTTTTTTTTTAGGGTAAAAATGGGTTAGAATGAATAGCAAGGACAGCCTAGGGGTAGAAGCTGTGCAAGGCTGTAGCTAGGTATGGAAGTGGAAAAAGAGTCCTTTAGTACAATAGAAGAGAGGGAAAGGATTTCCTACATGAAATTAATAATATTCTGCCAAACTGAGCTTTCTCCTCTCCTCTCGTCCTTGATTCCTCACTCTTACTCACCCTACATATACAATTCATGGTCAAATCTCATCTTTTCTACCTGCCCAATAAACAGGAAACACTGTCTCCCATCTCAGAATCTTTGCAAGGGCTGTCATGCATATCTGGAATGCTCTACTCCCATACCTCGGAGTTTCCCAGGATTCCTTTAAGACTCACTCAAATTTCACCTCCTGCTGGAGGCCTTTCCCAGTCCT